ATGTCATCAGAGAAATGTGAAGGAAAACAAAATACTACCTATCTATTAGAATGCCCACAATTCAGAACATTGATGATACCAAATGCTGGTGAGGATGTGGAGCAACAGGAACTCTCTCATACACTGCTGAGGCAAATGCAAAAATTATACAGCCACTTTGGAAGACACTTTGGCAATTTCTTACAAATTTAACATACTTTTATGTGTTATCCAGCATCAGGTTCCTTGGTGTTTAACAAAAGGAGTTTGAAACTTACATGCACACAAAAACCTGCATATGGATGTTTGAGGGAGCTTTATTCATAATTGCCAAAGCTTGGAAACAACCCCTCACATTTATTATAAGACTTCTCTTTCTGGTTTAAATACTTATATGAAATTTTCAGGGACATTCTATGAAAATGGTAATAATAGCTTTGAAAATAGTATAGATATCCATGCACCCTGCCTGCCTCTGAAATAAAACAAAACAAACAAACAAAAACTTCTTACTTCTTTGCATAGTGTCTACATTTAATAGATATGGTGATTTTTTTGATATGGTGATATTTTTATAAATGGTAAATGAATGAGTATATGATTTTTACAGAGAGTTATTTAACAGCAAAATGACTTTGTTTTCACTCTTTTATTTAACAGCCATTTCCTGACTGTGTACCTCATAGCTGGCACTGTATAAAGATAGGAAGGTTTATATTAGTTCTTGCTGGAAAGAAGCTCACCATCGACTTACTCTTTTATTCAAACAACCTCAAAATGGCAGTTTCACTTAAAATGAGGACTATTACTTCAATTCTGGCCTACATAAAAGAGCTCCCACAGAGAAATAATAGAAAGACATTTATGATCAGCCATTAAATTCATAACATCCTTGCTAACCTGGGTCAGTAATCACATGTCAGATAAACGTAGAGATTTATTGATCATGAGGAGGAGTTACTTTTGTAGCTATAGAATTCAAATAAAAATTTTTATTTTACTCCAAATTTGCTTTATTATTTTCTTTGAAAGGCACAAAATGCTATATTTTTAGAAATGTAATCTATAATAGCGTGGTTCTCAACCTAAGGCAATTTTTGACCTCTCTCCCCTAATCTACAGACATTTGGCCAACATCTGGTGAATGTGGGTTATCACAACTATTAGCCTGTACTAGTGCTATTGCCATGTAGTGAGTAAAGGCGTGGGGTGCTGCTAAACATTTTCCAATACACAAGGAAGTACTGACAAAGATTTATCTGTCCCAAAATGTCTAAAGTGTCTTGGTTAAAAAGCTTTCTATAAAGGAAGATTTTCCACAGCCAACAAATTCCCTGAACTTCTTAGTTCTCACAGTGACCTGCAAATCATCACTATAGGTCAGTTAAATTTGATAAGGTGCTCCAAGCTTAAACTAGCTTACTTCAAATAGAGAATCAATTATGGCCCAAGTTAGGGAGCTATTAGTATTCACATGTCCTCTTTATAAAAGCTCCCTGATTGACTCAGGAATTACAACGTTGTCTCATTAGTTCTTTCCATTAGGTTCTGGGTTCTGTTTTGCCTAAAATTTCTCCTGCCTAGACAGTAATAGCATGAAAAATGTATCTGGGTTTATTCATTCAGTATCAGAGAACAAATGTGAATTTAAATTCTAATTTTTCCCTAATAATAATCTTATTTACACTGTCAAAGAAAAATCAAGCTTATTAAACCAAGGAAATTTAAGAAGCTTCTTTGTAACATTATCTTTCCAACAACACTGAGGTGATAGGGCATGAAAAACAAGGGTGCAAACCAATCTACATAATATCATAATCAGTTACCATAATCAAGCTCTGTCTTTCCCCTTCCAAACTAACTCCACACTGATGATCACATTTCTTCAACTATTAGAAGTCAAGCCTTGAAAACAAAATAAAGTACATGACTCAAGAGGAAGTAGTAATTCATTCCAATGCTAGTGCCTAAAAAACTATGACCAAGGTACTACATCCTACTACGCCCACTAAAATTTTTCAATGTTGTAACCTATTCTTGTTACTTAAACACAAACTCTGCCAAGGAACTACGTGCTGAGTTGGGAAGGATTCTTGTTTTCAATTTTTGTTTGTTTTTATTCTGGTGTTCGTTCCCTCAGAAGGAGCCAAGATTGCCAGGATTTAAGTCTCTGCTGGGAAGAAATCTAGCACCTCAAAAGCAAATACTGGAAACCCTGTAAAATCCTCTCAAATATATATTATTAGAGAGGTTGAGGGGAAAGGATATCATAAAAGTTTTTAAAACCATTTCCTCCCTAGTCAAAAGAAGAGCAGAAGTGTTGTAGCTATAGGGGCTGCCTCACGCATATGTAAATAATCTCTCCAATAGCCCACAAATCTACAAACTAGGTTTCCTTACTACTTCCATTTGGAATGGTTTTGTGAGAGTTAAATGCTTTGTGATTGGTGAATGGAAGTTGAGATAAAAACTAGAAATAAATAAAATAAACTCTTTGCCTTTAAATAGAATTGGTTCCAGTTTCCTTTTACTAGCCTGAAAGGTTGTTGTACATATTAAAACTGCTACATAGCTCCATCCCTGGTCACAGAAATCCCACCTCTCTTCTCTCCTGCTCACTGAAGATGTCAGATCTCTGGGAAACAGCAGTTACAAAAGAATGCTTTCCATAGCTTGTACTAGAAAATGCTGGCACCCCATCCCTGCATAAAATAGCGTTAAACTGAGTCACAATGCCGGAAGCTGTGCCTTCTGCCTCTCCTCAAATGGATCTAGACGATTTGTAGAGAAAATTCTCAATAAGGCTGCATAGTTTTGTCCATGTATATGACATGTCGATTTTTTCTAATCCCCGGTTTGCCCTAGATAATTTTAAGCCTTATCCATCAGTGTACCATGTGAGAAAGAAAAACACAGAGACGACAGTGTTATCTAGGTATTTGGCATCAGTATTACCAGGAGCCTGTCATTTGACGATTATTTTCCTAGCCTAACAGACGGTAAAAAAAAAAATGTTTTTATTCATCCACAAATGACTAACATTTTATTGATGTTTCAAAATGCGGCTGAATACTATTGCACTCTCAATTTCCGAGCCGGGTTTGGGAGTTAGGCTTGAATACTAATAACACCAGTAACTCCTGCTACAAACGTCTCAGTTAATTGCCAAGCCTCGGAATGTCAGTTCAGCAGCGAGGCAATGCCGGTTAGGGGCTCTTCGATCAGTGAGTGTGGTGGTCACAGGTGATGGGAACCCTTCCGTTTCTCCACATATCCTCATGAACGGCGATAAAAATTACTCTGAGCACTGCTGCCGCCAAGCAAAACGACTCCCTGCCTGCCTCGTAAAGAGCTCAGCCTGGGGAGGCAGCCGGATGCTGACCCCTGCAGAGATTATTGCTTCTGCGCGCTTTGCCAAAGGAGCCGGCTCGCATTACGGAAAACGAGTTTGGGATCTGTGAGGTTTTGTTGTATTTATTTCCTCCAAGGGAAGAGGGACTGGGGTCAGGCGAAGAAAATCTTTAAAGACTGCTTGAGGAGGATTGGGGTGGAGGGAGGGAAGAATGAATGGAGGTGGTGAGCATATTTTTAAATTACTGTACTTGCTTCTTTCCTTCACTTCCGGGCTTTGCTTTCCAAACTCCTCTCTGAACAAGACTGATTGGCATAACTGCTATTGACTCCAGCCTCGGCTCTTACACTGATCTGCAAACGGCCCGGAATACCTAACTGTTCTTAAATCTGGAAATAAGTTCAAGAACTAGAAGATGAAAGGGGCGGCCCCCTGCCCAGCAACCTACTCGGCCGTAGGCAGGGAGAGCTGTTCGCAGGGAGAGCTGCTCGCAGGGCGGCGTGTGGGGCTAAAAGGCTGCGCCGTCCCTGGGAAGCGGTTCTGCACCACCGAGTAGGAAGCTTGTCCAACCTGGTTTGGAAGCAGTTAAAAATAACCCTGTGACTCCTTAAGCCCTATAACCCTGCCTCGCCAAGCTACGGATGCGCTGATCCTCCCGCTTGATAGGCTCAAACGGGTTAAAGTGCCTCTTACATAACAGGACAGCCTGGCTCTACACAATTAAAACACTTGATTGTAGTCCCTTTCCGACTCCGCATCCCAGTCCAACCCGCCCCGTGCCTCCCAGTACGCCTGCGCGAAGAAGCGCGCCCACAGGCCCAGCGCGCGCCATTCGCGCGCATCCGCGTGCGCGCGCATACTATATACTCACATACGTTCGCACACACTGCACTTTGACCATACTTCACACACATACACTGCCTCCCAATTTCGTGTCAACACTCACGGGGAAGGGAAGCGCCCGCTAAATCATACCGACTGACCCTACAGACACGCCAGCTGCTCTACCGCCAGGCCTTGCATGCACCCCCACTTCTGTCCCCTCAAAAGGCAGCCTCAGCCCCTGTCCATACCTATTTCAAAAAAAAAAAAAAAAGAAAGAAAGAAAGAAAAGAAAAAGGCATAGTGAAATAGTTGACCGCTGGTTAACTGTGGCACGGCCACCCAAGAGAGAATGTAAACAGATAAAAAATAAACAACAAAACCTCACTGTCCCCGGCATCATGATGGCGCCGACCACAACTTGGAGGACTTTAAAGTTACTCTGCCTCAAGAGGTAAACGGCAAGGGAGAGAGAAAGCAAAGCGCTCCTCTGCTCTCTGCCTCAGCCCGACTCGGAGGCTTTTCTAGCAAAGCATCACTCCAGAGCATATGACAGGAAGGGAAGCGTTCTGTTTACGGTGCAGCTCTCTTTCCCCCGCAGTTTGCATAATTGCGATATACCTCCTCTTGATATATATTTTTTGGTTTTCTTTCTTTTCTTTTATTTCCCCCTTCACTTTCCCCCCCTCCCTGCTGCATCCCCAATCCCCGGGCGGGGTTGCTAAGGAAACGGCCGCTTGGCAACGCGCGCAAGCCTCGGGCCGCTGCTGCGCCCCGCGCTGCTTCTGCTGCTGCTGCTGCTTCTGCTGCTGCTGCTGCCGCCGCTGCTGCTGCGATTGCAGCCTCCGCCGCTGCCGCTGCCGCTCGCCCAGCCTCCGCCACCGCGCCTCCTCCCTCACTTGCCGGCGCGCTCGCCTCCTCGCTAGATGGTGTGCGAGCCGCCCGAGAATTAGACACACTCCGGACTCGGCCAGAATCAACCGAGAGGAGGTGTAGTGTGGTGCTAGGGGGTGGGAGGGGAGGGAGGGAGGGACAGCAAAGAGGAGGAGGAGGGCAGGCCAAAAAAGAGAGAGAAACAACATCCAACAACTAGAGGGGGGGGAAAGAAAGAAAGGAAAGAAACCCACCCACCCATCAAAAAAAAAAAAAAGGAAAAAAAAAAATCCTGTGGCGCGCCGCCTGGTTCCCGGGAAGACTCGCCAGCACCAGGGGGTGGGGGAGTGCGAGCTGAAAGCTTCTGGAGAGTGAGCAGCCCTAGCAGGGATGGACATGATGCTGTTGGTGCAGGGTGCTTGTTGCTCGAACCAGTGGCTGGCGGCGGTGCTGCTCAGCCTTTGCTGCCTGCTGCCCTCCTGCCTCCCGGCTGGACAGAGTGTGGACTTCCCCTGGGCGGCCGTGGACAACATGATGGTCAGAAAAGGGGACACGGCGGTGCTTAGGTAGGAAGAACGGCGTGCCTTTCGTACTTGTCTCAGTCTATCTTTCCGTCTGTCTTTCCACTTTTTTTTTTTTTTTTGGTCTTCTCTTTAAAACGAATAACGATGCTGGTGGTGATCACTATCCAAAGACCACGTCTCAAGACATCCAGGTGCTGATTCTGCCCCAGCCGTGGTCCCTTCATGCTGGGGCAGGTAGCGAGCTGGACTGGTGATGCTAAAGCACTTTGCCCGAATGCCAAGTAGCCCCGGGATGAGTGGAGCGTGCGGTTTAGGAGGGACAGGTGGCACTTTGAAACTCAATTCACAAGGTCTCTGTTTTACTGTCATTGGGTACTCTTGGAGAGTCTGGCAAGTTTATCAGGTTTGTTTCTGTTTTACTTTAGTCTAAGTGACTTTTTCAAACTGCTCACTCCCCGCTCCCATTTATTTTCCTTCTCAGTTGGACACTCCCTCTTCAGCTTTCTTTCTTTCCTCTTACCTCCTTTTCCCTTTTCTTTCTTCTCTCTTTTTTCTACCATTTCCCCATCCGCTTCTTACTCTTTTCTATCCATTGCCTCTTTCCCCTCCTTTTTTATTTTCTCTCTATTCTTTCTTCTCTCTTCTATTTTATCCTCAATTTTCTCTATTTAAAAAAAAATCGCCACCACTCTAATTTTTAATCCTCTTATTTAAACCCCCTTCCTCCACTCCTCATCCTAGCCCACTACTCACTTTTGTTCATTAGTGTCCCCATTCTATGATCTTGTCATCCTTTTTTTTGCCATCACATTTCCCATCTCTCTCCCTATCTCTGTCACATACACATGCATGTTCCCTTCAACACCCCCCCTGTACCATTTTTTCACCCTCACAAATCTCTTTCTTAAACACACTCCTTTACATACTCTCTGTCTCACATCCTCACACCCATTGGGTCCTTCCATGCTCTCACAGCCACTTTCACGTTCAGATTCTCTTTCACTGTTTAAAAGGCACACACTTCACTGTTCCACACACTGTCACTCACACATGTGCACAGGATGGAGGTCTTTCTCTCTGCCCCCCCCATTTTCTCTGTTCTCTTTTTCTTCCCACTTCCCTCCCTCCTTCCTTCCATCTTCAGTTTTACTTCTTTTTATCACTCTCCTCTCTTCCCCTCTTTCCCCCAAGCTTGAGCACTGAAATGTTTTGTCATTAATGAGTACCCATAGCCTGATGTTATTCCTAAGCAACACTGCAGAGTGAGCTTCTGGAAACATTTTCTCTCCTGTGAAAATATAAATTGATGATCAGCAGTACTTAGATCTGAACAAGGCTAAATGCTCTTATTCCTTCATTTTCCATTGCCCTCCCTTCTCCCCCCCCCCCAACACCTCCACCTGATGTATACCTCAGATCTCCCTGAAAGATCTTCTTTCTCTCCACTGGGTGGTAGTTGGCTTTTATGTATGGGTTGCACAAAATCAGTATACATGGCATGTCTAAGGTGGGAGAGTGAGATATGTTTCTGTTTAGATCACATAACATTTTAAATTTAGTGATATGATATCTGGGTGTGGTATATGACTTTTATCTTCTGAAACATATTTATGAGTTCAAATGTGTATGGAATATACTTATAGTATCTAACATATATACTAATATCATGCTTTTATAATATACTTTTTTATCTTTGCTAATCACAAATACTACTGGGTGCGTACAAAAAATGAATGATTTTTATAACTTAGCAAAATACCTTTCCATTGTTGGTAAAAGCGATGAACTCTTTGTTACATAGAGGATAGAAATTAAGACCATGTTTATGTTCTTTATATTAAGTTTGTTTTAAAAGTTTGAACAATAGTAGTAAGGATGAGACGTTATTTTCAGAGGCTGTAAACAAATATCATGGGAGGCGCAGTCTATTATATGTTTTTGTAACAGCATATTGTATATTTGTAATGAGCATTAATATTTTGAGCCTAAAGGATTTGATAGACTGCTTATATTTTGATGATATATCTTGACATTTTGTTTCTAATGGATAATCTAATAAATACAATGGCTAATTGAAATAGCTGAACCCACATTTTGCTTCTAAGAGACTTATGGTTTGTTCACTCATTGCTTCTAATACTAAATCTCTAACTAGTGGGGACTGTATCTTTCCAGTATTGGTTTGGTGCAGTCCTTGTATACTTGTATGCATTGTACCTCATCCCTTTTTTTTTTTTTAATTTTTATATCCTGAGTTTTGTAGTATCTTATTTTAGGGGACTTTTGACTTTCAAAATTTTTAAGCAGACTAAAATTGCTCTTCCAAATGATTTTTCTTAACCATTTACAGTGTTTTTTTAAAATAAAATAAATCCACTTTTTTTGTTATATGTGAGAGAAATCTGATCTGCATTACTTTTTACCCAAAGTAATTTGCTGATAGTAATGCTAGAACTCCATAGAGAGTATCCCATTTTTTTTTACCTTTTTACATTGTCCATAGATTTTTAACTATATATATAGTTATATATATATATAACATATATATAACTATAACTATAACTATAACTATATATATATATATATATATATATATAAATTCTCAGTTGTTTTTCTTAACTTCTCCCCTGCAACTGGAGTTGACTCTGTATACATAGACCAGTAGAGACGGAACTTAAAAACGATTTGCGTATATAAGTCAGGTGACATATTTTTCATCAAAAGTAATGTCAGAGTTACATTGTATATTTTTGCTTTAGATATTTAGAGCTATATATGATGCTGTTCTGTAACTCATGAGAAAACAAATCGAATTACACAAAATTTACCCTCAATCACACTCCCCCACCCCCATCCCCAATTAAAGTACCTAAATCTGATGTGAATACTTGACTGATGATATTATATTATGTATTAAGCTTTACACTATATAGTCTTCTTAATTTAACACATTCCTCAAGGTGTCTCTAATGAAAATCAAATAGTGGCATAACAGTTATCAAATAACTTTAAGTGCTAAAGGCCTGAAAGTGCAAACGTGTCACTAGTGACTCTGTTGCTTGTGGCTACGTTAATGAAACAGAAGTTTAAAGGTCAAATGATACATTTTTATCTCCTAAATGCCACAACGTCTGTGTTAGAGAAAAGAATCAAGAAAAACAAAACTCCTTAACTGGTTTATAATACAAAAGAGAAATTCATTCTGTGATCTTATTATCTATATCTCTCATTAGTAGGCCATCTTCTCTGTTTGTCTTAGAGGACTTATCATTAAATTTCCTTTAATAATTTTGACATTCTTATCATTTTAACTTTTGTCTTTTAATGTTAGTGAAGCGATGTATTAAATGTCAAAATGTCCATTTCTTCTAATAATGTTATTCACTGTTAAATGTCTGGAGGATTCACCGTAGCTATTTGGCCCTTCTTGATAAAGTATTTAATGATACATCTACTCGATAACATAATGTTTGGCATTTCCCTTACTGAAACTTTGGATTCAAAAAATGCATGGATGTCTAGAGTACATTTGTAGTTTGCTGCAAACCCAAACTAATATATTCATGAATTTTTTAAAAAGTGACTTTGATTGCAACTACATTTAATATGTATTAGTATTTTATACATAATGAAACTTGTTAACTATATATGGAGAATTAACTTTTCCTGCAGTCTTTAAATTGCATTTTGCATTGTGCGGAAGACCTGAGTAAATGTTTCACAGGAGACATAACAAAGAACAGGAGATGCTAGAACCAACTTGATCACACTCCAGTACCTGGTATTTCTAGAAGTGGAAAATCTAGGGGAACATAACTCTGAATTAATACATACATTTCAGATGTTTTCTGAAATATAGTTTTATAGTTAATTTAAGGTGAATGCATTGTTTTATTTTTACTTTATTAATGAACATAGTTATGCTAACATGTCCCAAATGTCTAATTTTTTTGTAAACAATACAAGGAACATCCTCATTTACATCCAGTGTCTGAACATTTTTACAAACACATGCCATTATTAAACTAATTATTTCAGTCTGTTTCTACTTCAACTCTTCCATATGAATTCTGTGCATTTTAAGCCACCTTTCTGATATGAATTCAAAATATTCTATTCCCTTCTCGCCATGCTTTAGTCAAATGAAAGGATATTCTTTTCTTTTCTTTTTTTAAAATTTTATTTATTTATCTTTAGAGGGGAAGGGAAGGAGAGAGGGAGAGAAATATCAATGTATGGATGCTTCTCATGTGCCCCTTGCTGGGAACTGGGCTGCAACCCAGGCATGTGCCCTGACTGCGGATCGAACCGCGATCCTTTGGTTCACAGGCCTGCGCTTAATTCACTGAGCTACACCAGCCAGGGTGGAGATTCTTTTCTTAAATGTGATATATTTTACCTTAACAAAGTTGAACACAACTCTGTTATTTTAACATATATGATAAACTTGAATTTAACTTATATGATACTATAATAAGAAGGAAGACTTTTGATTAAAGCATGAAACATAGAGCACATTTCCACAGAAAATCTTTCCACTAGAAGACACAAAACTTTTTAAAGTGGATTTATAAATGGACATGACAAGTATTTATTACTTCTTAGCCCATTCATCCAATACATTTGCCTTTGATTAGACTACATCAGTTAGTTTAGTGTGGATACAGGAGAGTAAATGATTTATTTATGAGAATGAAAAATTACTAATAGCAATACAAATTAATTATACTATACTTCAAGGATATCATTGAAGAGTCTTGTACTGTCTGCTGAGTCATTCCTGTACATTGGTACATTGCATATCCCAGGTAAACTTCAGGTGTATAGGTATTTTCAATTTTGAACATTAAGGCACTATTTAAAAACCCATATGTTTATTATATAGTATCATTGAACAAATGTATTTATAATTCTGATTTCTTTCTTTAAAATAGAGCGGGATAATAGATTGTCATACTGAGTCAATTTGGAAAAATGTGTTTCAAAATATGGAATAAAATGCTACCTGCAGTAATTTTCCTGAGCTGTTCTGTTAGCATGAC